ATCGCAGATGCTGGCGAAACGTTAGGAAACAAAACTTCAAGAACACGGCCACACAGCCCGGAAGACCCACACCAGTCATCGTATTCCGGCCATGAAAGCCTTCGACAATACATAGAATTTCTCAGTTTAGAGAAAAGCTCTTAACTGTTCAGATTGGAGATGCTTATTATATTGGCTGCCTTTGTTGATGATTAAACACTGATTTGACTTAGTAATGGTTGCAAAGTGCTAAACTGGTATATAAGATCACCTCCATTATGCAGTATTAACTGGATGTTACTTTGAACATTCTTATTCAATTTTATTCAGCTTGCACATCTCTTTTTTCTTTCCTTTGGCTCTTTGATTTTGTTATCTGCTGTTTTTCTTGTTATACTTTCAGGTTATCAAAGTAAAATATAGTAAAATAGAATACAAATAGAAATAAAATAAAAGAGATGCACCTTTGTGCTTCTGTACTTACCTTATTTTACACGTAGCAAACATTCTTCTCAGTGTTTTGTTTGTGCTTCCGTACATATTTCTGTTTACTAGGAGGCTAGTTTCAGTGGCTGGCAGGAGGTGAAATATCTGGCTGACTAAAACTGATCTTGAAAAGCTAAGCAGGGGTTAAACCTGATTAAGACTTGGATGGGAGACTCAAGGCTTTAGATATTTGGAAAGAGATAAATAAAAATCCCAGAGGAAGGCAGTTGTGAAATCCTTCCATACTGCTGCCAAGTGTAGAGAGTAAGGAAGATGATCTTGATGGAGTTATGTGAGCTCTGTTATAAAAGCGACAAAGAGTAAAACCTATCTTAAGTCCACAACAGACAGCTGGCATTCATGAAGGGGCTCACATGGATACCTCCCTAATTCCCTGAAGTATAAGAAAGGGTACAGCACAATCAGACTTGCAAGGTTGATGTCAGCCCCATGAGGTAGATCAGACCAAAAAACCAACTCCACAGGAAGGCTAAAACTACTTTTATTGAGACTAAAACAGAGTCTTGAAAGTCTGACTGGGCTGTACTGTACCTCCTCCCCCTTCTTATACTCCAGTAAATCAAGGAGGTGTCTGCTCAAGCTGTTTACGAATGCTATTTATCTGTTGTGGATTGACAATATGTTTTACCCCATGTCGCTTTGGTAATGGAGCTCACATACCTCCATCAAGGTCAGATTCCTGACTCTCTAACCCAGAGTTTCTCAACCTTGCCGAGTTGAAGATGGGTGGACTTCAACTCCCAGAATTCCCCAGCCAGCCATGGCTGGCTGGGGGGGTTTTTGTGGTTTAGGTTC